GTTATCATCTGTTGAGCGGTGTATAGTGGAGTGGATGTACAGACACACACACACACAGAAACATATAACACACACACACACACACACACACACACACACACACACAGAAACATATAACACACACACACACACACACACACACACACAGGGACAGGGATAGAATAACACACATGTGAATGTATGTCTGCTTGTATAAAGGTGTGATAAAAATATCACACACAAATATCTGTATGTGTGTTTCTGTGTGTGTGTGTGTGTGTGTGTGTGTGTGTGTGTGTGTGTGTGTGTGTGTGTGTGCGTGTGTGTGTGTGTGTGTGTGTGTACACATTAGCGATGCGGTCTAATAAATGTCTCTTTCATACCATTCATCTCTTCCAGTCTGCTCTCCGCCATTCTTCCCCTAACGCCTGCAGTTTGCACTATCCCTATTGTGCAACATCTGTATCTCAGATATTTTATTTTAACGACTATTTTATTTAACTCTGTTAGACACAGTGGAGGACGACGCGTGAAATTCACTTCACCCCATTCATCCATTCACGACTTCTCCCCGCTCTCTCGTTCGCTTTGACTAATAAGCTTGAAACGTGAACTTGTCACCCTCGTATATAAAATACCTCCGCTGTCTCCTCTCCCCTTCAGATACCACAACTTCTCTCTCTATGGGACACATCGCGGGTCTGGACCCAGCAGGGGTCCCGGGTTCGGACCCTCATCCTGACAACAAAGCAGTGTTTCTTCCCCCTCGGCGGTCCCGGCCCAGCGAGCCCCTCGGGCCGCCGCCGGCCGGGCCAGGGAATGTCCCGGTCAGCGGCGGCGGCGGTCCGAGGGGAGGCTATATAACACAGAGACCGGGTACTGGAAGCGGAGAGCACATTCCCGGCCGGATCCCGGTGTTATACCAAGGAATGTTCCCGGTTCCCCGATACGAACAGCAGACACGCAGGGCATCGTAAAATACGCTGGACTCTCGGCTCGCACCGGCTGTATATGTGTTCTGTCAGCAAGCTTGTGTGTCTGTCTGCCAGCTCTCCCGGTCAGCCTGTTTGTCTGTATGGCTGTTTTTCTGTCCATCTGTCTGTCCGTCCGTCTGTCTGTCTGACTGTCTGCCAGCTGTCTGCCTGCCTATCTGCTTGTCGGTCTCCCTGTCTGTCTGACTGTCTGTCTGTCTGTCTGTCGTCCTCCAGTGATCATGTGGCGCTCCAGATCTCTCATTAGGGCCCCCAGAGGTCCCACCAAGACACGCTGGGCATTACGGGTCATTACCAGGCGTTACGTGGAGACATGCTGGAATCTGCGCATTACAGTAATGGTCCTCTCTTCCGGGATGTAATTGTATTTGTGCGTATCTGTGTTGGCGACCGGACATCATCATCAACCATAGGGGGGGGGGGGGGGGGGGGGGGGGGGACAGGCACTGCTGGGTCTCAGGACTCAGTCAGCGTTTAAATAGAAACCTTTTTTTTTATGACTCACCTCGGCTGCAGTTGTCGTCGTCCTATAAGATAAAAGACAAAAAAACAGAGTCAGATCAGTTTTGAACTGGTTTACAAGTTTAAACACGTTCAAATGGGTTTAAACAGGTTTGAACAGGTTCCATCAATACACAGGTCGACCTCAGTGAGTGAGAAGGGTTACAGTTAGGCTAAGAGTAAATGATGAAGTGTTCAAGTGCGACTGAGTGAGTGAATAAGTGTTTGAGTGAGAGAGTGAGTGAGTGGTGTAGAATTAGAGTGAGTGGACTCAGTAAGTATGTGTGTAAGTGATTAAGTGTTGGAGTAGAGTGGGTGCAGTAAAGTGTGTGTGAGAGGCTTGGAGTGAGAGATGGCCCAAGAGCGCATGGGATACGCTGATCGAGCGAGCGAGCGATGCAACATGAGCAGCAAGTCCACACACGAGCGGACGAGCGAGCTTGCGAAGGCCTTGAACTTGGAGAGGGAGCGTGACACACACACACACACACACACACACACACAGCTACGACGATGTGTGTCTGGGCCGTTCCGCACGTTGCTGTAATGCTCTGGATCTAACCAAAGAAACCGCTTCATAGCTCGATTTGTTTTCTTTCTTTTCGCTTCCTTCCTCATTTATTAATCTTAAATCCTCATCTTCCTCTCCGAGCCGTGTGTCTGAAAGCCACATGATTAAACCGCCCGCCCCTGCAAGAGTGACCAGCAAGTGTGTCCTTTAAGACGGCCAGCCTCCCTGAGACTTGCTCTAAAAAGCCCTGACCCTCTTCGTGACTTGACCCCCATTGGCTTAACCCACTCAGGGAAGTAATCACCACAAAACTAAAACTGTGGTAAAGGCCCAAAGCTGTGGTTGGAAGCGGTCATCTCCGCCTCCTGATTAAAGTTACATAACCGTTAGATCTGGGGATGAACATTCATCAGATGACCCCCATAAAATGTAATTGATGAGCAACAACTAATAATAACTAGATATATTGCGTCCTACCCTAATCCTAACCCAACCGCTTACACCATATCTAACCCTCGCCCATTGAAGAGAGATCACCTTAAATCACCTCCTGACTAAAACCAGCTTTAATATAATCGGATGCAACCCCACCTAGCGCCAACACAAACAGCAGTAGGAACAGAGAGAAGCAGGGCGCCCCCAGATTTGGCTTGAGGTCCGCATTACGTCTATGGGGGATGAAACACAAGATGGGACTCCTGGCCTCGGCCGGGCTCTCTTGGCTGGACACATGTCAGAAACATCTCAACGGCGGTGACACGGTCCCTAGTGCGGCCGTCAGATGTGGAGCCAGGAGCTGCAGGAGGAACCCAGCGCTCGGCCTCCCGGAGAGCTCTTCAAAATACTCCTCAGAGCAGAGTCAACATCACTGGTCCAGAATTACCATTCACCCAAATAACATCGACGATAGGAGACACCAAGGGCGAAATAGTGAGTCACACCTTGGGGGGCGCCCAATCGGGTCAGGAGCTTGGGGTCTTCCAATGACATAAACCCGATAGTAACTTTGAGCCAACCAACACCACAATGTCTGGGAGTACAGATGAAGCCACAGCTGAGATGCACAATTGAACGTTTAAAGTCCAAGTCAAATCGCTGGACGTTAGCGCTGAAATATCTTTGAACATTGGTGGGGACATTTTTTTCGCCCCCCTGGAAGAACCACAACCAGCACCAGCCACGGCTCCACAGGGCTGGTGTGAGGACGTTTTTTTTTTTCGACCGAAAGCCCTGGCAGATGTGTGGCATTAAGACCCAGACAGTTCTGGAAGTGCAGATTAACGTAAAAGACCGGCTTGACGCTGATGGATGACTGGCAGGAAGCCCAGGTGGGATAGCAGCAGTAGATTATAGCATTTAGACTATTTATCCTAAGCAATTTAGAGTTGAATTCGCGATACATTTCATTACAGAGGAGCCAGGTTGGGGGTGGGGGTACCTTGCTCAAGGGACTGCTGACATTGGGGTTCGAATCCAGAACTTTTTTGGCTGGGAGTCAAACTCCCTAACCACTCGACGGGGCTATCCCGGGACAAAAGCTGCATCTGGGTAGGGTACAGTTTTAAACAACACTGTGTGTCCATGTTGCCGTAACAACGCAGAACCAGGCCGGTGGGGACCGTAAACCGTGGTCCTGAGGATTTTCACATGGACACAACCAAATATGACAATGGCTTCGGTTTGAAATGTTGACTTTTCCAAATGTTCCCATTTGAGAACCCGTTATTAGAGATGTGGGTATGACGACAACGCTAGTAAAAGGCATTCATTGTTGTTGTTAACCCAGCTAGAGGAAACTTGCGGGAATGCCGCTTTAAAGAGCACGAAAAGATAACATTGACTGACGCAACGTATTCTTATCATGGTTACTCACACACAATACAACTCCCACTTTGACCGTCTTGAACTTGTTTTTGACCATCTAGACGACTTAGTACTACGCTTTTATCCAAAGCACTTCACACTAAATAAAGGCTCACAGTCATTATTACTAATTAATATGAAGGCATTTAACAGACAGATTTGTAATACAAGTTCAGATACATGTGATTAAGATGCAACCTTTCAACTGAGCGTCGAAACCCCATAACCACTGGACTAACCCACCTTACATGCTGGCCAAGGACATGGGAGGAATCAAACCCAGAGCCTTTCAGCTGGGCGTTGAAACACTGGACTAATACAACACACTCACTCAAATACCCTCACATCCTGGTCTAGGACATCAAGGGATGGGGGGACTCGAACCCAGAAACTTTCCACTGAACATCCCAACCACTGTACTATCCTGCCTAGCAACACAGGCCTGGACCAGGACTGACCTTGCGGGAGCAGTGGACGGCGGACTCAGGCGGATAGACGATGAAGTGGCGCAGCGTGAAGCCGAACCCCTGGGAGGTGCGGCGCAGGCGGAGGGACTTGGGCCCCGGCCAGGAGAATGGCTCCTCCTCCTCCCCGCCGGGAGACGGCGCCGTCGACGTCTCGCTCTGGTCCCGACCCTCTTTCCGCTTGGCCTGGGGGAAAGATGACAATAAATCATGAATATTATTATTATTATTAATACAAATAATAACGCCTTCAAATACAGATTTGTGTGCAAAAGATTTCGAAATTGGTCGATTGATTTTTGAAAAACAAATGACGTTTTTCGGATTTTACAGTCCATGTACTCCTGGGTTTAATCCAACACATGAAATAAATATCAAGAATATGTTTCACGATTTAAAATAAGTAATGCTGCTGAGTCCAAATAATGTGTGTCAATGAACCATTGTTGTTTTCCTCACTTTCTTTAATCGGCCGTGTCGAGCACTTTACACTTCAGTCCAGAAACAAGCTCTAAAAATGAGGTCACTCTCCGTGGAGGACGCTCCATAGAGAGCGACTGTTCTCGGTCCCATTGCACACCATCGTTAAATTACAGTCACAAGCCCCGACCCTGACTTCAATAAGGAGCCTCTCTTTATAGACGAGGGAATGTGAGGCATTTAGCGTCGTTCACTACAGAGCGCCCGTCGGGCAGCCAAGCGGCCTAAAGGTGCAGGATTCAGCCTCAAGTCTCTCTGGAGGCGTGGGTTCAAAATCCCACTGCTGCCATCTCGCCATCTTCTTTCTTAATTATCTTATTGGAGCTGGCACACTGACCTCCCTCGCAGTGGAGACGATACATAAGTTCACTTCATGATTTTTTATTACTCCGATAGCGCACTTTGTGCACTGTAGTATTATTGAATATCTAATTCAGTAGACGGTGATGCAGTGTACCTCAATGGAAGTGAACATAGCATAGCACAACGTCACCATGCATTTAAAACAGTCGCCCCTCCATGAATCATGGGTTCTGTACCACCCTGTGACAGCTTAACATTATAAATATACGATTGTACGACATGTAAGGTCCTAAAACCGAAGCCCAGGTTTGAGTCTCGGTCTCAGGTGGCCGTTTAAACCTGTCACCTTAACACTTTGCAAATCAAGTCATGAAGGAAAAGGCGGCCTCAGTTTACTCCTAATGGCTTGGAACTACACACAGCCGTCGTCGCTTATTATCCATCGCCGACACACCGTCGCATACCGTATTACCCCTGCACCCTCCCGGTCAACTCAACTTTATTTGTATAACACTTAATCACATTTACACAGAACACAGAAACAAAGCGCCGCTAGAAGTGATGAGCGGTGCACAGCAAACCAAACACACGCGCCACAGCTGTATTGGTGGCAGATCTTCCAGCAGAGATGCATGCTGGAGAAAAGCGATGGACAGGTATTCAAACTGTTTATTGTTGTCATTGCCGCCGCAAAAAACAGCTTAATTCGTTCCCTATTTGTGTAATGACCCTCCAGTTGTTGCCTGACTCTCAGTAGGCCGGAGAGGCGGCGCGGCGGGGATACGGTATTTTCTCGGTCTGCGGTGTTAGTTTTAACATCCTTCAGAGAAGCCGGAGTATTTCCTGGTTTCTAATGACAGCGCTCCGCGGGAGGCGCCATGAGAGAACCGCTCTCTGGACCGCCGGGAAGGACTGCGAAAAAACGGCCAGGAAAACACGACACTCAGCCCTGAGCTCGCTAACCGCCATTAGCTTATGTGGTTGCACCAAGTTGTAGACGGAAGCTAGCGGCTAACCACACAAGCTAATATCACCGTTGGTTGGCCCAGGACTCGATACTGCCTCCATGTTGGAGGGTGTAGATACTGCCCCCATGTTGGAGGGTGTAGATACTGCCCCCCATGTTGGAGGGTGTAGATACTGCCCCCATGTTGGAGGGTGTAGATACTGCCCCCATGTTGGAGGGTGTAGATACTGCCCCCCATGTTGGAGGGTGTAGATACTGCCCCCATGTTGGAGGGTGTAGATACTGCCCCCATGTAGGAGGGTGTAGATACTGAACGCATGTTACGAGATTCAACACACGACTGTGTTGATCAACAGGAAGTGACATCATTATTAGGAGATGTATTTTTTGCCATTTGTACCATAACTATACAATGAAAGGATGGGCCGACGCTTTTTCACCGTTGGCTGCACAATGTGGATTAGATAACTTTTACACACACCTAATCTTGTTTTGCAAACAGTGTGGGACCCAAATTGATCGGTTTATTTGTATGAATAATTATTTAAAATAACTAATTGACGCAATTAAATCGATTGTAATCGAATATAATATTAACTGTTGATTGGAAGCGACTTTGTGGACAAGATAAGAGGCAGAAAGTGGAATAATGTTGTAGTAACGATGATGACGACAACGACAATGATGATGATGATGATGATGATGATGATGATGATGATGATGAAGATGAAGATGATGAAACAAATAGGAGTTCCCCCCTCTTATCAGTTTCGATGGATCTGTGAGTAACGGCCGCCATGCAGCAACCATCGCTGTGTTATTATCCCGGGCCGGTGGGCTCTGAGGATGCATGTGGTTCTGCTTACAGCGCCATCAGCAGCGATGGGAACCACACACACACACACACAGACACACACACACACACTCTGACGGTCAGCAGGATGACAGAACCGGACCAGAATCGGACGCTCCTCTTTCGCCCCGCGGCGAACAAAAGAAAAACCCCAGGAAAACAACTCCTCGTTACGGACACGTTCTGTCATAGCATGCGTGTTGCGTCACCCTGGGGTTAGAACCTCTAAACACACACACACACACACACACACATATATATACACACTACATGAACGCTTGCACACACATACATACACACACACACACTCGCGTGCTCTCCGTAGGTCGACCTTAGTCATGTTAAACTATCTGTTACCGAAACGTGTTTACGGAGACGGAGAACTCAAACTGCGTTGTGTCTCAGAGCGTAACCACGGCAACCCAGCAGAAAAATACAATGAGTCAAACCGGGCCCCCACACACACACACACACACCCTTTCTGAACCCCTTATTATTTTCCCTGAAGATGTTGTTAAGAGACCTAACATGGGAAAACATACATGACCGCACCAAGAAGTACGGTATGTCAGACTGGGGGAGGTTGTAACGTTGTGCTTCTGTTGCCTTCATTGGTACACATCAGCCGTTTGAAGCAACTTTATCAATTGCAACATTCAATGACGTTCCCCGTCTCTCTCTCTCTCTCTCTGTCTCTCTGTCTCTCTCTCTTCCTCTCTTCCTCTCCCATCCTCCACTCTCTCTCTGTCTCTCTATGTCTTTCTCTCTCTCTCTCTCCCTCTCTCCCTCTCTCTCTCTCTCTCTCTCTCTGTCTCTCTGTCTCTCTCTCTTCCTCTCTTCCTCTCTTCCTCTCCCATCCTCCACTCTCTCTCTGTCTCTCTATGTCTCTCTATGTCTCTCTCTCTCTCTCTCTCTCTCTCCCCTTCCCAACAGACCCTTGTTTAAAAGCATCCATGGTGGTTTAATTACACCTCAAACCACAGACACACACACACACACACACACACACACACACACACACCACAGCGATATATATTTGAGCGACGCTGCTAAACACAAACAATCACACACTCACAATAAGCAACATCTTGTTTTCCACTGTCCCCTCCTCCGGCTGCTGTCTGGGCGATCGACATCGGGGGAAACCCCAGGGGAGGACAGAGAGAGAGAGAGAGGGGGGGGGGGGGGGGGGGGGGGGGGGGGGGGGCTGGGTGTGGTCGCAACTAAACAGCTGGTGACATCACCACAAATACCCTTTAGACCATTTGAATGCAGACAGAGAGAGGGGGAGGGGAGAGGGAGGAGAGAAAGAGGGGAAGAGAGGAAGAGGGAGAGAGGGAGGGAGAGAGAGAGAGAGAGGGAGAGTGGGGGGTGGGAGAGAGAGGAGAGGAAGAGAGGAAGAGAGCGAGAGAGAGAGAGAGAGAGAGAGAGAGAGAAAGAGAGAGAGAGAGAGAGAGAGGAGAGAGAGCGGGAGAGAGGGGGGGAGAGAGATTGAGAGAGATTGAGAAGAGAGGGGAAGGAGAGGGGAGAAGAGGTGAGGGAGAGAGGGAAGACAGATTGGGAGTGGTGGACGACAGGAGAAGAAAACAACAGAAAATAGAGAGAGCAGAAAGTATGCAAGCGGAGATCAGCAGCACAGAGGAGCAGAGAGGAGGAGAGAGGCCAAGGAGAAAAGGTGGAGGAAAAAGAGTAGAGTAAGGGAAGGAAGGAGGAAGGGAAGGAAGGAGGAAGGGAGAAGGGTAAGCGGAGGAAAGGAGGAGATGGTGTGATAGAGAGGAGAGAGAGTGGAGCAGCACACAGACGTCAGCTCCATCGCTGCGCTGTTTGCTGCTTTAAAAATGAATGTGGAGGAGTTACGCAATAACGGCTCAGAGCCATTAGCCTGCCGTCACACACGCTTACTGTGATGCCAGCGCACACACACACACACACACACACACACGTACAGCGGTGCACGTATGCTATGAACACAACCTTTCACAGACCATCTCTATATTTAAAACACGTTGAATTATAGAGTAGGGGAGGCGCGTGGAGGTGGACTAGGACTAACAACACACAGACAACGCCGCCAACGCCGCCATGTGAAGTTTACTCAGTAAGAAAACCCGTTCCTTCTGTAGTTTAATGTATTGACACCGCCGAAAAGTGACGTCAAAATACTATAAAAGAGAGGGAAGATGATGGGAACTGAACAAAACTTTTACTGAACGCCGACCGCCTTTGAAAAGACCTCAAGAAATACATACATGCATGCGCCACATGATTGTATTTCGTTATTTTTAAGTAGATATCTATATTTGCTCCATGCACTTTGTTGAACAGTCGTTCATTCAATGAATACGTGTGTGGAAACGTACTCGTAATTTGAATCGGAGCTGTCTTTAGCGTATTATTATTATTATGAACACCAAGACCAACCCGAAGCCAAAGGGGAAAATATATTGCAATGATTTGAGGCGTTTTTAGTAAAATGGCTTTCGCACAAAGGGAGTTATTTATGACTTGGCACAATCACGCCGATATCACTCGTCTAAAAACCAGAACTTATTTCCTGCCCGTAAAAACACAGGAACAACGTCCAGTCGACAAAAATGAGACCCCCCCACACCAGATCTCACACCGAAACAATACAGGACAAGTGTTCAAGATCTGCCCCCCCCCCATGCTGGTGGCCTCTTCATTAAAACAGACCCCAGTGTGTTGCAGTTGCAGGGGGGTCAGGCTGGCTGGCTGGCTGGCTGGCTGGCTGGCTGCTGGACGACCGTATGGCCATGCGGTTGCGCCTGCAGGCGGGTACTGCGGCGGTTTGATTCATATTCAGATTCAGGATCAAACTTTATTGATCCAAATTGATGTGCAGCTCACCCAGTCCCATGCATATGACTTACATGTCAGAGGCGACAGATCAACATACGTTGATACGTCAATACAGGGAAGCTACGAGCAGCAGTAAATGAAATTAAACATTTTTGTTATAGTTCATATAAATAACCGAGTTTAAAATGACTACTGTGGGCGTTTAATAGCCTGACAGCGGAAAGAATGAAGGACTCAGGATGGCGGTTTGTCCCCCTAAGGGCCACCGTATAACGCTGGCTGCAGGTCTTACAGGGACGACGCGGTCCGATTGGCTGATAACTGCTTTTTGCTTTCTTGGCCTTTT